CGCATACTGAACACTGAGGAAATCCGCGGTCGCTGGAGACGTTGATTAGTACCATCGCGGCCAGCTGGATTGCACCTACTCACCACTTGATTTTGCGCCTGTCATTCGATTTCGATCCATTGGTCAATAATTCTGATAGTTGGAAGATATGAAGATAGGCAATGGAGGTAAGTGTGCCTGGCTACATACCTGCGACATGAATGGCAGGCAATCTCCGATTTTCGTCGACTCTCTCGAGCCGTGTTCGCCGTGGACCACATTGCTGGAGACAAAACAAAACTATTCGTCTCTGTCGCGTCTCTTATCTTATTGTCGAACTACCGAAAGCGGGGTCAAAACGTCTTCACACGGAGAACGAACATGGTGTGCTGGACTGTAAGTGTATGTACAACCGAAAGAATCTGCTTTTATAGCAGAGCCCGTTCGGTGCCTTTTCTTTTACACTGTCCCAATAATCTTACTGATGGGGGGAGACTAAAATCTTCTCACGGGGCCCCGTCTCCGCAGCTCCCCCGTTGTTCAACTACGCTTCCTTACCCCGCCCCCGGAAAACGCTAATACTGTAAGAATAATGATCTAATCGTTGGTTGGAGTTCTGGTCTGAACCCATCCGAAAAGACGAAAAAAAAAAGGTTCGACCCAGAAAATTGGATGGGTGTGGCTGCAATAACAAATACCTGAGTCAGGGCAGGAGACATACTCCCCATTGACCTGATTCAGTTCTATGCACCCGGACGACCACCCACAGGGCCGCACGCGGTTGTGTTTGTATGTATGATGTATGGAATGTCCCGTACATAGTTTCGAGCGGCGATGTGGCAAGCAATGGCATTGCCGCTTCCCTCTTTTCCTTTGGCACCCCTCCAGATCGTGCGGCGGAACAGTGTATCTGATGGGACTCGGTCAAAGAGCCAACGTTGACGCTTTAGAAGGTGTGTATGTGGTCAGCAATGTCGGCTGTCATCGTCATATCCGCAGTACTGTAAGTAGTTACATATGTACCTTACAGGAAAGAGGGCAGATTAATGTGGTGGAGAGTACACCGTAGAGTTAATGAGACGAGAAAGGAATTGCGGGCAAATATGCGGCCTCCTCCTGCCGTCTACATAGATCATCCATACATAGCTTTACTCCGCAGGTAACTCATCAGTGGCAACCGTTCCCATTAATTTAGTACAGCTCCGGAATAAGCTTCTAATTATGCCCCCTCTTAAAGTTTGACCGGGCAAAGACGAGCTCGGACGGACTAATTCTAATTTGACCGTCCCTGTCACGGACGGACTAATTCATTTGATACTGTATGTCGTTACGGAGGATTTTCGGTACAACTTCTGCTCTTCTGATGATCTCATCTCAGTATGTAGTCCACGAGGCCCAGCCTCAGCCAGTATGTAGTCTCATGATTCATTCGATTGAAGGGGCACGGGCACGTATCCATGGCTCCAAAAAAGAAAAAAAAAAAGGAAAAGGTAATTCGACCAGAACACGATCCCCGAAACCAGAAGCAGAGCTCCCCCCTCCCTCTTTCCCGACTGAACAAATCCTGACACGGCTCTCGTGTGTGTGTGGTGTGTATGATATCTATCTTCGGTCTATTATGTACAGCGCCGATTGATTGGACCAGTGCCTGCCTGCCCTTCTCCCCCCTCCTAATCTCATTTGATACATAAGTAATTATGTATTTTTATTCGTAGTAGATGGTATTAACCAACGTCCCAATCTGATCAATCTCCACTCGGATATCGTCGCCATCCTTCAAAACCACTTTGGGATTCCGCATCGCTCCGATGCCCGGTCCCGTGCCGGTCATGATGATCGTGCCTTTCTCGAGTGTCGTTCCTTGTGATAGGAAGGAGATGGTTTTGGGGATGTCGAAGATCATCTCTCTGGGTTTTTTTTATTGTCAGCAAGACAGACAAGAGGAAGGGGTTTTCGTTAGCGAAAAAAAAAGACGAAAAAAAAAGAAGAAACGAGATGATAATGATTATATACTGTACATATCTCACCTGGTGTTGGAATCCTGCACGGTCTGTCCGTTGTAGATTGCTCTGATCTGGAGTTGGTGCGGGTCGGTGATGACGGATGGAGAGACCAGGACGGGGCCGATGGGACAAGAGCCGTCAAAGCCTGTATATATATACAGTTAACAAATGTCTTATTCTTCATGTGACGGACACGGAAATACTGTATATATGTACAAACCTTTGGAGAAAGACCATTGACTGTTCTTGAACTGCTGCGCTCGCGCGCTGACATCGTTGCTGGCTGTATACCCTAAGACATAGTCCATCGCCTCTTCCTCGGGGATATCTCTGCCCGTCTTGGACAGGACCACCGATAGTTCGGCCTCGTAGTCACTTGTCCCGTCCTGCGCGATTTGGGGAACGTTGATTTTCGCCGGGAAGGGCCCATTGAGCGCCGTCCGGGGCTTGATGAACAGGACAGGCACATCTGGGATCGGCATGTTGGCTTCTCGCGCATGGTCACGATAGTTGAGTCCCATGCAGCGGATGATGGGTACCTCGTCCATTCCGATGGGTGAAAGGATCTGATTTTTGAGTGAGAAATAACTTCCTATGTCAGTTCTCTCTGTAATTGTCATCGATATATGTTAGGTAATTTGGTTGGTGTGTGCATATATGATATACCTGGGCCACATGGAGAAGCTTCTCGGTCACCACACCGTCAAAAACCGAGCCTTTGATCAGTTTCGCAGTCACTTCCTCGCCGTTCAACATGGCCAGCCCGACATCGGGAAATTGCTTTGCGTCGACCTGTCCCAGGTGGACCTGGCCATCTTCCTGGGCGATAAAACGGATGAGGTGCGTCCAGTTCGGTGCCATTTTTGTATCCTGCGATCTCAGAGCGGATTGATTGCAGGAACTGCATAAATGAGATGAATGAGATGAGGAGAAAACAAAAAAAAAGAATTAAAGAAAGGAAGTAATGCTTTTATTAACTGTATGTGGCGGGAGGAGGGGTATGTACCTGGTATTTTATCTCGCGATATCTGCAGAGCCTAGATCAGGGCAAAAGAAGTGGCCCCAGCCACGGAACAATTTCGGCGGGATATCTAAATGATAAATTCATCCTGATAATGATGAAAAAGGTTTTGTGTACAATATGCCCTCTCAACCTGCATCTGACAGCCCTGTCTGCCATCTCATCTTCGACAGAAGCCAGTAGAGTGTACACAATTCTCCACAAATGTAGGAAAATCATATCTATTTCCATACAAGATAATAATGCAGATTACGATCATTAATCAACTAGTCTGAAAGCAGGTCTCCTACTACTACTTCTATAGTAGAAAGAAAATGTCCTCTCTAAATCCCACCGGATATACAATGATATCTAGCTCTTTTTGGAAGAAGACTGTCGTATCCGTTTTCTTCAGACAATACAGTGAGATGCAGTTGTCCCTTTGTGACTAACCTGCTATTTCTGACGGTATGTGTACAAGCTCGTAGGACCCATATAAATAAATGTCTCAATTTATGGAATGGAACCATGTATGTACGCAACTGATGCTGGGTTTCTGTGCGTGCTGCTGGCACGCTTTTAACATGCGCTGTAACCACCGTCCACGGTCCAATGTGCTTTCCCCTCCCTTTTCCGTCAGCCCTTGAACGTCATTGTCGTTTTTTTTTTCTTTCTCTGGAGACAGCACTTACCACCCGTCACATAGGAAGCGTCATCGCTAAGCAAGAAGCATAGCACCTTTGCGACTTCGTGTGCTTGACCCATGCGGCCCAATAAAGTGGCACTGCTGAGCATTTCAGAGTTAAACAACCCTTTCGCTTCTCCGTCCCGAAAGATCGGCGTATCTATAGGACCTCTGGCCGTGGGAACGAAGGTTATCAGTATAAACAACCCACAAAAAGAGTCGGTTTCGGACTTACGGGAGGACAGCGTTAATCCGGATGCCATGTTTGCCAAACTCCCCGGCCGCGGACTCGTCAAACCAATGACACCGAATTTGCTAGACGAATAGGCCGCATTATGCGGGAGACCGCGCAATCCGGACGTGCTGGACACATTGACAATCGCACCGCCGGGCCGCGGAAGATGGGGGAGTTTTGCCCGCATGCAATACATGATCCCTGTCAGGTTGACGTTCAACATTGCGTCCCAGTCTCGTTGTTTCTGATTTTTTACATCCGCGGGATAAAATTAGTTTTTGATATATACTGAATTGCAGGATGGCACAGAAACTTACAATTGTCTCACAGGTGGTATCTCCATTTCCTCCCGCGATCCCAGCAACGTTGGCTGCCCCGTCTAGGCGCCCAAACTCGTGGACAGCGCTCTGGACCCATTGCTCTACTTCATCCGACTTACTGACATCCACCTTCGTGCTAATTATTTCGGCTTTTAAACTGTTTGCCTGTCCGCATGTTGTCAGTCATCGCAAGCCCCCGAAGGTCCTGGTCCAGTCCGGTCCGGTGTAAAGATAATATATATGGATGGACATACATTTCTCCTTGGTCTCCTCTAGCCCGGCGACGTTCACGTCGCTGATAGCAATCCCAGCGGCGCCGAGCTCTGCCAGTCGAATGGTGACAGCCTGGCCGATCCCTGAGGCCGCTCCGGTGACAACGTAGAATCGGCCCTCCATGATTGATGATGATGATGATCGGGCTTATTAGATTATGTAGCAGTAGATCTGATCTGCAGACCAGACGGGGGTTTTTCCGTAACGTAAGGTCGAGAATTCTATCCTACCAGAATAACTATTTAGTGAAGTCGTGAATGGCAACGGCAGTTAGACTGAGGGTTCTTTTTGACGCGGTTATGTGCTAGGTGGTTCCATCTGCCGTCATAGAAATACATGTTATACATATGTATTACATGTGCGCAGCATACCTCTGTTAGTTTTTGGCTTCTGCAAACCTATTATTTTCTCCTTTCGAATAATAACTTTTGTTGTTGTTCCTATTTTCCATTAATTGTGGCACTTTTCCTCGCTCCCCACTGTGAGTGCGGCCGGACTGTCTTCGGCGAGATTTTTAATCTCTGCGAGCATCACTAAACTCTCCCACAACTGCTGTATGAACATCTTTATTTTTTTCTTTTGTGGAAATTTTTTGGCTTCTAAAATTGTTCGGTTTCGCACTAAACCCAAAGGCTGTAGTATCCGGAAGTACCTAGGTATGTAATTCTGCCTGAACAGTGTCTTGCACATATCGTCGATATCTGACCAGTCCAACTGTAGAGGTCAAACAGGGCCGCAACTATGTAAAAAAAAAACGCATTACAAAAACTGTGAGTTTTGATGGTGGGAAATCAAAAATTATTCACATCGTTTCTATTGTACGCGATGCATCCATTCCATGTTGGCAGGATATGTATCAGGATGAATCAAGTTTTCCGGGTTGTTAAATCAAATCAAATCACAGAGTTTGTTGGTCATGATCTGATTTCATACATATACCTGATATATGTCGGCGGTTTCAGAGTATGGTCACCACCCGCGACGGATCCGGATGTCTCTTTGCATGAGGCATAAAGACGCGGGATCTATATTTGAACCCTTTGTGCCATATTCGGGTATAAATACCCATAAGAATCACCCCGAGATGTTCTTCTCATCATCATCTGTATTCTACTCGTTAGATAGTCATAATCTATCCAGTCTGACCTCAATGCTATCGTGCCTGTATCGCTGACAATATATAGATCTGATCGCTACCTATAGGACTCGGGAACTTCTGGATCCATCCGGGGTCTTCACTTCTTTGGGGTGCCTCGCTTGCGGTCATCATCCAATCCAGAAAACCTTTGCTTTCTTTACGTAGATACATACATATCAAAAAGATATGTCTCTAAGTCAGTCATAGTATGCATGTGATTATTTCACAATCAACTGCCGCGGACATAAGTTTGATTGGAGTAACAAGTAAACCGTAACAAGTCCTCGCTCCGCGATGGAGGAGGGGGCTTTCTTTTTCTTCCGATGAAATTTTACGTATTCTTGATAACTAGATTATTTGCTATTAGAGGAATCGATCTTGATCTTTTTTTAAATAAAACCAAGGGACTCTTTCTCGAAAACGCAGTTTGCAAACCCACAACCATATAGCCAAGAAATTCTAGAGGTGACTGAAGCAGACAGATAGTTCTATAAGACATGTAAATTCTTGCAGCATTTTCACATATACAAGAGCAACCACGCAAGTCAATGCAGCCTTCGCAGATGCAGATTCGACAGTATATAGATCGACAAATGGCTCGGATAAAAAGGACAGACCAAGCCAGACAGGTGATTCTTACTGATCGGCTTGGCCACTCCCATACCCAAGGATCGCTTGCATCACCTGCGATAACTTTGCCTGACACTCTTCCTCATTGCCCAAGGTCTTTTGTGCTCTCCACGCGACGAACCGGTCCGGACGCACCAGGACAGCACCCGACTCCTCCACTCCCCTGAGCCGCTCCCAATCAAAGTAGACATCTTCCCAATCTTGCCGGAACCCGATCGAATGCACATTCACAGGCACCCCAAGCTGAGCAGAGACTCTCTCGGCCGCACGTTTCCAGTGCTCTCCCCCAATGCCGGTGAAAAGGGTAAAGGCTCCGTGACCTGCGAGGTCAATGGTCGAGACAGGCTCGGTTGGGATCGCTTTGTTGAGCCAGACGTGCGGCAGTCGACAACCGGGGTACGTGCTTGGCTCGTAGTAGAGCACGTCATCTTGGGCGGCACGTCCCAAGCGCTGATATGGATGTTGTTCGTCAGCATCATACACACACAGACCGGTGTATCGCTGGCCCATTTCGACTCCGAGACCGTGGAACTCATGGGACGTGCGGGAGATGGCTTCTTGGAAGGCACGGCGGCGTTGGCGTCCTTCGGGCGTTGCGCTCCTCAATTCCTCCAGAACCTGTCGACGAGTTGAAACATCCTGGGGCGTCGTGCCGAGGGCGTCCCAGACGTGGAAATGATCACGGAACGCCTGGTTTGCTCGAGTGATGATGGAGCGGCCCACCGGCTGTCTTTCGACGCTGTAGCTGGAAAGAAGCGAGGCAGGGGCCAGTCCGCGGTGAACATAGGCGATCTTCCAGGCCAGGTTGAACGCATCTTGGATGCAAGTGTTGGATCCAAGGCCATTCATGGGCGGGTGTCGATGAACGGCGTCCCCAAGGCAGAAGCTTTTTTGAACTGATTAGCCACATTTCCATATGGCTCGAACTGCGGGCGAAAAGGACTTACATGTTCCCCTGAGAATATTTCTCGGCAACAATCTCGTTGATGAACCACTTGGAAATGTCGAGGATCTCCGCTGGGGTGTCATCGCCGATAAAGTCTTTGACTCTCTTCAGATACTCTTCTTTGGATGGCTGGATTTGAGGGTCGCAATCCCGATTCGGGAACATGATAAACATCCATTCGTGCCACGGCTTCACCATCCGCACGATGCCCATCCAGCCAAACTCGGGATGCTCCCGATCGGGCTGCATGACCCAGTGCAGATTCCCTCGTCGGTGCTCCACCAGGTGGGAGAGATCGGCCTTGACGAGGACGTTGATCGCCAAACCTTGGCCCGGCTTGATCGAGAGAGGAAGGTCCAGTTGTTTGACGACCTGGCTACGGGCACCATCGGCGCCAAAAAGGTACTTGGTGCGCACTTGGTACTCGAGGTTGGAAACGTTGTCGCGGACGGTTGCTGTAATGAGCCCGGTCTCTGCGTCTTCCTCAAAGGAGAGCAATGTCGTGTTAAATCGAGTCTTGAACCCATTCAACGTTGCGTGGCGAACCAGGACGGGCTCAAGAAGCGTCTGCGGTAGATCGACCGGTGTACAAGGGCTGGCGAGTTCGTAGTCTCCCTGCAGTTGCGGTGAGCCAATTTTGTGTTCATGATTGATGAAGAGGAGCTAGTCTTACCTTTCTGTCGGGGGCATTCCCCCACGAATGAATGCGAGCATATTCCTCGCCGGCCATACTGTGGCACCATCTTGTATGGATCATACAATGCCCCTTGGATGACAGATTGTGGAGCTCCTGATCAAGTCCGATATCTCGTAGACACTCTTAACCTAGCTAGGTTATTTACTGTACCCTTCCTGGAATGGACGCTCTTGCTACGCACCTAGTGCCGCCATGTTTGTGATGTGCGCACGAGGTGTATTGGCCGTTCCTGGAGCAGCGCTGATCATGATGCCCTTCAGGCCTGTCATAGTCAGCTTGAGGAAACTTCATCAGGATTGTCACCTCACCATAACTAGCGAGAAAGCATGCCAGCGAGGCTCCCGCCGGCCCTGCACCGACGATCAGAAATTCAGTTTCCACCGCACGAGCATCTGGTGCAGATGAGAATGGTCGACAAATGTTGCCATTGTTAGGGTTGACGTGGATCGGATGCCACGCCGGGGGACTGATTCCATTACTGATGCCATTGGCGATGCCATTTCTGATCGACGGAGTCATCGCTGGTGTTGTATATCGGGAAGCTGTGTGGATTAAGCGCGGACCGGCTTGGTTGTATCTTGCCAGGCGAAGAGAACGAAGCGACAAACGAGACGGCCGAATTTGAAGGCCACCAATCCGACGACAAGTCAAGCCAGACATTGTATTTTGTTTCTGACCTCCTTATTCATGCAGCCTCTATTCGGACCTTTTCAGTCATTTCATAGAATTTATCGAAGCTCACATAGGCATCCCCTCGTTGCCATGCATGTTCCGTCGGCAGCTCCACAATCTCTCCACGTCACAAGGAGACCGGCCGAAGATAGTCCGCCCCTCTCCATACGCCCAGGATCCATGACTTTCCAGTTGATACGAAACTTCTCGGCATATTACGATGAACGACAGGTAAAAATCCGGGAATAATAACGTCCCGAGTCGCGTGATGAACGTGAGATGAGATGCCTATTTTGCAAGTGATACTTGTCAGGAGATCCCATCCAGAATTCTGATCTCTATCTGTAATCAAACTATCTCCAAGACTGTCATTTCGACTTGCCCTTTTGAAACGTGGTCATCGACGCAATGCCAGGCTCGACTACAGACAGTACCGGCCTTGGTTGCCGCCAGATCAGGCTGGTTCGAATAGCACATGTCTACTACACCCACAAAAATATCGACCAGGCACGTCAATTTCTCGAGGACTTTGGCTTCCATGAGGTCAAACGGGTCGGCAAAGACACCTACTACCGCGGAACCGGCCCCGAACCGTTTGTCTACTGCGCGCGGCAGGGAGATGAAGACGATTTCGGTGGTGCGGCCTTTGTGGTGGAATCCGAACAGGACCTTGAATATGCGGCACAGACGCTGCCCAACGCGACCAAGGTCTACGAACTGAGCGATGCTCCCGGCGGTGGTCGCTGCGTGACCTTCCGCGATCCAGTCGATAATTTCCCCTTCCATCTCGTCTATGGTCAGGCTGCAGCGGAGAACGTAACTGCGTTTCCCCAGTTGAAGTTTAACTTTGTATGTAGGAAAATGCCCCAATTTTCCCCGACTCGTCGCTAACGTGGTTCTCCCCCACCCCTCAAAAGCCAACGGAGAAACACAGACCAGTAAACAAGACCCAACGGTTTCAGAAAGGCGAGAGGAGCGAGCTGTCTGACGCTGACAAGAGGTTCTGACATTTGGCAACGTCCTAGGTCCCGCTCCCGTGCATAAATTAGGTCATTTCGGCATGTGCGTTACAAACTTCGCGAAGACCTTTGAATTCTACACCACCCGATTCAACTTCGTCCCTAGTGATGTAAGTAATTTACTTCTGTGTCAAATATTGAACTGGTGCTGACGCTATGTAACAGCTGGTTTACGACAAGAGTGGAAGAGACATCACAACGTTTCTCCATCTCGACCGTGGCTCCGAGCTGGTGGACCATCACTGTTTCTTCTTTTTCGAAGGCCCCAAGTCGCACGTTCACCACTCGTCGTACGAAACGCACGACTTTGACACGCAAGTTTTGGGGCACGACTGGCTTCGTCGCAAAGGGTATGAGAACTGCTGGGGAGTTGGTCGTCATATCATGGGTAGTCAGATCTTTGACTACTGGTATGCCTATCTGCCAGATGCCATGTGCCATACATAGCAAAAGACCTTTTTTTTTCGTTAACTGTGTCCGCAGGTTCGATCCTTCCCGTTTCATCCTCGAGCATTACGTGGATGGGGATTTGGTGAACGACGCAAACCCTGTCAATCGTTCCCCTGCGTCACCGGATAACTTGCATGTTTGGGGTACGTTTCTTTCTTTAAACTCACCAATTTGCCTCTCCCTTTTACCCCAAATGCGTCCCAGAATCTAACGATCAGTCATTGCCACATAGGACCGGATTTACCTCCAACTTTCTTGCTGTGATTCGACTTGACTTTTTGCTTATGTGGCGAACAGGTAGCATACAGCTACGCTTGAAGGTAGAGAGAAAAAAAAGTGCAACGACGCATGTATTCACTCCCTTGAACAGTCGAATAGTAGGGAAAGGAAGGAAGATTCAATTGACGCAGAAATATAACACCAGTACATAACACACGTGTCTCTTTTGCAGATATTTTTGTAGACGAAACACAAATTTTGCGTTGAGATTGAATCTTGAAACCTCGTATAGAACCTTTTAGTAGGAGGCGGAGTGGGAGGGATGGAATCCGCCGATGTACATAGCTGCCAGGTTGTACAGTACTGTATGTAGAGTAGTACGCTATGCACCTACTTACATTAACTCAAAGGGGAGTACGAGACACGCGTCCTCGACACATGGGCCCACTACCCTGATAGATTCAAAACCCCCTCCATCAATTTTTCAGATATTAAATTAGATTAGACTGGGGATCAGTGCCTTTGCGGGGACAAGCTCAAGGAGGCTCCAGGGTCGAAACCTGTGAGGGTGGTGAAATTGGTCCGAAGTTGTTGCGATAAACGCGCATCAATTTCCCCGAGAATCTCAAATCATGGAACATGGATCCCAACACGGACCATTGGTGAGTGGTTCATTCGTGCCACGCCACAGCGAAGCCATTGTCTTACTGTGCCAGGAAGTGCTATGGATTATTGTTATGTCTGGGGATGCAGAGGTCACGTGGTCTACAGCATACTATTCCCGGTTAACCATGTCATCATCCTGGGGGTCAGATTGAGAATGTTTATGGAAGGATAGGATAGGCGTTCCTAACGGTGTAGTACTTTAGTGTATATGTACTTTCGCTGATTGTCATCATTGTCATTATTATTATCTCGAAGGAAAAGGGAAGGGTTCCGCGAAACGAGTCAACATCACAACCATCTATTTTGGCCCTGGAGATCAGGTAGTTTAAACACACTAATACGTACGCTAGAAAACCATATTCTGCGAGAACACTAACTAGAGAATATGATTATCGGCAAACAGTAATCTTGCCAATAGCCGGGATAAATATGAACGAGACTTTTCTATGTTGTATTGTCCTCTGGGTAGACCCATCCATACACGGTCATCACGACCCACCACCACGGAGCAATGTCTGTGTATACCTAATCCTCCGCTCGAATACCGGAGCATTGGGAACGGGTCCTAACATAGCTCATGGTTCATTCCTCAGCTAATTGATTTATATGTTTTCCAATTTTTTTTCCTCCTAGCAATAAATTCATCGAGGCAAGCCACATTTCTCAGTGATACAGAGAATGTTCATTAATCTATGTCACAGTCACGGATCGTACCTTACAGCCTCCAAGCCCCTCACCCAGAGCAATCATGAGGAACGCCGGTGCAGGATCAATTCTCGCTGACCAGCGGCCAATTACGAAGAATCTGGTCGCACAACTGATTCAGAAAGTACGTGGAAAGGACAAGGATTTTCTGTCATTGCTGACCAGTACCATTACAGCCTACCACCGATGTCGACATCCTATCCTTTGCATGCCTTGTCCTCGTGGTGCTCTCGACGTTGGCGTTCTTGAGCAGAAGCTCTTTATGGCCTCCCAGCGGACGGAGGCGTACAGGAGATCAGCCCTCCAAGGTCAGTGAAAAGGGCGGCCTAAACAACGCAAGATGTATTGTCCAAAAAATGGAAGACGCGGGCAAGAACTGCGTGGTCTTCTTCGGCTCTCAAACCGGGAACGCGCAAGATTTTGCCGAAAAGTTGGCCAAAGAAGGGCATTCCCGGTTCGGTTTGGAGACTATGGTGGCGGACTTGGATGATTATGACTACGAGACGCTGGTCAACTTCCCCGATGACAAGGTCGCCATTTTTGTGTTGTCCTCGTACGGGGAAGGAGAACCGACTGACAACGCCGTTGGATTCTATGAATTTATCACCGACGAGAATCCGGCGTTCTCTGAGGAAAAGGACAGACCGCTTCAGGCGATGAGATATGCGGCCTTCGGGCTCGGAAACAGCACCTATGAGCATTTCAATGCAGTAGTCAGAAAGGTAGATGCCTCGCTTGAACGGCTGGGCGCAAGGCGTGTGGGCAGTGTTGGCGAAGGCGATGACGCAAAAGGCACAATGGAGGACGATTTTTTATCATGGAAGGATAGCATGTGGGAGTCTCTCTGCGCCGTCATGAACCTCCATGAACAGGAAGCGCGATTCGAGCCGACCTTTGCCGTCTCCGAACAACAGGCTCCAGCGGAATCCGTTTTCCTCGGAGAGAGGAGCAAAGACGAGCTCCTGGGGACACGCCAGACTCCGCATGGTCCTCATCATCCGTTTGTCGCGAGGATCGTGGCGTCGCAGGAGTTGTTTAGCGCCAAAGATCGAAACTGCTTGCACATAGAGATGGACATTCGTGATTCGGGCCTGTCGTACCAAACTGGGGACCATGTGGCTATCTGGCCTATGAATGCAGACATAGAGGTTGATCGGTTTTTGCGAGTCTTTGGAATCTTGGAAAAGCGGCACACGACCATTCACATCTCCACTGTAGATCCCACTGCTCATAACTCGTTTCCGACTCCGACAACATATGACGCAGCCGTGCGCTACTATATGGAGATTTGTGGCCCGATATCAAGGCAGTTTTTGACAACAATGGCCGAATTCGCTGCGGACCCGAAACAGAAAGCTGCACTTCTAAAGCTCGGAAAGGACAAGGATTACTTCTCCGAGATTATTAGCAGCAAGTACCTCAATTTAGCGCAACTGATTGAGACAATCAGCCCGGATAACCCGGTGTGTCCGATTCCCTTCGCGGTGCTCATCGAGGGCGTTCGAAATCTGCAACCCCGGTATTATTCAATTTCCTCTTCATCGTTGATTCAGAAAGACTCGGTTGCGATAACTGCCGTCGTCGAGTCCGTTCAGTTCCCTCAACGGTGGTTCAAGGGCGTCACGACCAACTACCTGCTGGGGCTGAAACAGAAGCAGCATGGAGAGCAACCACAGCCTCATGATCTCCGTTATGCCATATCAGGGCCTCGTGATAAGTACGATTTGAGCCTCCCGATTCACATCCGGCATTCCAGCTTCAAACTGCCCGCCGACGTCACCCGGCCCATAGTCATGATCGGACCCGGGACCGGTGTTGCCCCCTTCCGAGCATTTATTCAAGAAAGGGCCTCACAGGCCCAATCCGGCGTCAAGATTGGCAAGATGGTCCTATTCTTCGGTTGTCGCAAAGAATCCGAAGATTTCATCTACAAAACGGAATGGAAGGTAAGTACAGGATATACTCATACGTTCCGAAACTTTTCCCGTCCACTTGTGCGGAGCTGATCAATTTCACTCAAAACAACAGGCACAGAAAAAAGCATTGGGGGACAATTTCGAACTCTACACGGCATTCTCCCGACAGCCAGCCAAGAAGAAGGTCTACGTCCAACATCGGCTTGTGGAGCACGCTGCAGAACTTCGCTCCTTATTACTCGACAACAACGGATATCTCTACATCTGCGGCGATGCACGCATGGCTCGCGAGGTGCAGAGCACACTATGCGAACTTGTCAGCAAGGAATTAACGATTTCGCTCTCTGAGGGAGAGGCGGTCATACGGAAGATGAAGAGTACGGGGCGTTATCAGGTACGAGGATCCCCCCATGTCAACATTCTCTACATTGTTCTTTTGCCTTCGTGTCGCTGACCCTGTGGTTAGGAGGATGTCTGGTGAGATGTTTAGCATTTGAAAAGAAGAAAAAAAAAAAGTGGAGAAAAAAAAGTTTGAGAAAAGCTAGCCACATAACTAATGTTTCTTATTATTGCCATGTCAGTTCCATGTCAGTTGTAGTTATTATAGATTATTCTGTAGCTAGTCTTCAGAAATGCCGGTTATGTTTCATATCTTCCGCAGATAAGTCTCCGTTACTGGGACTTCGAGACTTCAGTCAAAAGGCAATTTTTGGACAACTGTACTGGACTGTACTTGTCGACGCTTCTTCTTTTTACACGACTATGGTGTTCGAATTGTTTGATCCTGATCATTCATAACACTGCCCTTAAGCTAAATATTTCACAACTTCCTAATGATTAAAATGGTACTCGGTTGAGGGAAGTGATACATCCATAACCCATTGAACGACTCTGATTTTCACCTACATACATGATCTCAGGAGGGGGCAGGCTTCAGATCCAGATGGCCGTTAAATGCTTTTGACTGGTGAATCTCTGTCCTCGCCACGATGGGTTTGACACTGGCGAGAAGGGCTTGAAATCTCTCGGATGAATGAAGTAGATTGAAATCCTCGGCAGTTTTCGTCCTGGATGAGAGTTAGCAAGCAAAGAGTTTTAAGATTAACTCTGTAAAGAAAAAGGAGACAACGCACCGTAACCACAACGTCGTCATTGTTTCGTCTCTGCATTCCTTGAGGACGGCGCAGCTCTGCAACGTCCCACTGGGACCTTGCGAGTCCTTCGTTTCCGTAGCGAAGTTACCCAGCGCCGTCATGAGCTCTGCGCGACAGTCCTTGTCGACCGCCCAGAAATGGTAGACGACGACATGGCTTGTCTTGGAGTCTCGATCCGGGTCGTCCCCCCGCTTGAGCCAGCCGCCCGCCCAGTCGTAATGATGGAGGTCGTAGTCGCGACTGGCGAGGCCTTGCTCGTGTCGGAGCAGTTGGTCGGCGTCCACCAGGGCCATCTCTCGCTTGAAGATGTCGGTCGACACGTGGCCGAGGAAGAACCCCACGGGGTGGGTGTAACCTTCCAGACCCCAGAGCGTGTCCGGTTCGCCGTCGAGATCCTGGCCCCAGTAGTATGTGTCGCCTAGGGTTTCTGTTGCGGAGACGTTGCACAGGTGGACGAGACGTTCTTTCCACTATTTCGCCTCGTCAGATATGAAAAAAAAAAAGCTTTTCTATCCAGCAGTCGCAGCAATGGAAAAAGGATAAACATAACGTGATCGATCATAGATACTTGTATGTAATGTACGTACGTACCAACGGAAGCGCCCCATCCCTCCCAACGACGCGTGCCACGACGAAGAATTTCGGACAGCTCATGATTATATCCCCGCTGTCAAAAAGTATACAAATATTTATAGGTACATAAATATGGGTATAAATATTGGTATCTGCGGCTTTTCTCAGAATAACAAGAGCGCGGAGACAAGAAAAATAAAAAAAAAGAAATGCTAGACTTGGTAGCTATTAATCCTGAATGGCAGATCGATATATATATATATATTTTACTTATATATGTAGTATAATATACGAAGTAGATGCGGTTTGTTCGGCTCCTTCGGATCACCAGAAGACAAACAAGCCCCCTTTCAGCGTTGGTAGGTAGGGTATGTAGGTATAAAGGCGGAAAAAGGAAATCGCAACAACATATGATTTTTCGATTGCATTCGATTCAGTTCAATTAAATTCCCTCCCCCTCACACACATCGCAAGGCCGAGATCAAGGCAAAAACCCGCAAAATTTCCCCACGGAGGGATTTCGGTATAATTATTGTGGAGTATGTACGGCGGAGATGTACGGAGTAAGGGTTGCTTGGTTTGTTTTCTTTTTTTCCTTCCCCACGGGCCACCACCCACTCCACTTCTACTTGCTGTGGGGGAAAAGAAAGATGATGCATTTTCTTGGCTCGGAATTTCTTTCTTTCTTTTTCTTTCGTGTCCTTTACCCTTTTTAACCATTCTCTTTTAAAAAGGTAAAAAAAAAGAAGAGAATAGTCGATTCATGTTTACGTTCATGTTATGATTTATACATGTAAGGGATGATGAATGGGGGCTGGAGGCCCTGGAGGAGGCAGAACGAGAGGGAGAGGGATAATAGGGGAGGGTGGCCTGCAGCAGGCAGGTGACACCCATACAGTGATAACACCAAGGAGGGCATACATAATGCCCAAAGGCCCTGCGCAATAAGGCGGTTTGGGGCGAGGAAAAGGTCCAGAATGGTCAAAGATGGGAATTAGAGACTAGATAGGGGCATCGCCCATGATTCGGGGTCTGTCATAGCCGAAAGGCTCGGTATGGACGTTAAACTTGATAATAATAATAATAATAAGGGCTTCTTATAACATACACTTGTTTAGTTTCTATAATTTTAAAAGAATTAAAGAGATATACACACACGTATATATCTAGTAATGTACTTAGACAACTTTGCTATAGTAAAATGTCCCCTTTAACTCCCACGTATAGTAGGTCCTTTAATCTATAAGCCTACTCCCTACTTACTGTAAGATAAATGACCATAATATTTGATTCTATTGGGTGCGAAAAAAATTGATCAGGGGAAAAAAAGAGACTCCGCCACCCAGATCTATCTATCTAGATATCTGCCTGTTCACATTAGATTAATCCCACTGGGACAAAAACCGCAGAGCCTTCTCCTTCTCCCTCCGGACAGCCTGCAGGTGCTTGTCGCTCCGCGGAACGACACGCACCTTGAATGGCAGCGGGCTAACCAGGATGCATGAGTTATATGCATTTTCATCCAAGGGCATGGTCTTGCTGGTCGCAGGGTCAATAGGCTCGTAGATGTTAAAGGCCCAGAGAAGCTTGGCGGTGATGCGCCACATGTTCCGTTCAGCCAGATGGATCCCTGGACAGATGCGACGTCCGGCTCCGTAACCGTAGTGATGTGCCGAGATAAAAAAAAGGTTAGTCCGTGGTGCTCGAATGACACAAAGGATGATATTAGGGAGAACTTATCTCGGTTATCATAGTCTGGGGATGATGCGTATTCGTTGGCAAGTTCGGATGGTTGAGGAACCGATCCGGGTTGAATTTCTCGTGGTCTTGGTACAGTTTCTCGTTTTGATGCATAGCCCACACGGCGATGAAGATCGTGCTTCCTTTAGGAATCAAATAGCCGTTGTACTCATCATCTGTGCGGTGAGAATGCCCAATTAGCATATATATATAAGACAACTGTGAATAATACACTTACCCTTCGTCACCCGATGCGGCAATGCCGTTCGTGCCCTAACTGATGTTACCAGCCATTCGACTAGATGTCCGTCTTCAATGTAGCTCCTTGACGCAGGATCAAGAATTCACTCACGTTGGTCTCCACCGTAGTCCCTCCTTAATGATGCAGTTAATATAGGGAAGGGCCTCAAAGTCCGAGAATTGCGGAGCTCGCTCCGTTCCACAGACACGGTCAATTTCCGCCTGCGCCTTTTTCTGCACTTCTGGATGCTTGGCCAAAGCCATGATGATCGTCAAGACTTGGTTCGCCGTCGTATCAGCGCCAGCTTCCACTAGCTCTCCAAAGAGGTTGTTGAATGCAAATTCGGGAAGTGGCCATTCGGTGCGACTCATTTCGTCGAGCTTCTCATCGATCAGACAATCCCGCTTGTCGCCTCTGGCTCGCCGTTCGTCGACGATCTGTCTCGCCTTGGTCCACAGCTCGTTTCGCATTTTCTTCACGCGGTTCATCCTCTTCCTCCAGCGGCCGGGCATGTACCACAGTGCAGGGAATTCTTTAATGGGAGGGTTTGCCCCTGGTTCGAGAACCACTCCCCACTGTTGTTTTGTCTATATATCAGCTTGGAGAGGGGAAAAAAAATTTTTTTCAGGCTGAATGGAGCAGGTTCTTCTCACTCACCTCTTCCATCATCTCGTAGAATCCCTTATACCACCAAGAGTTCAGATCTTTGGCTCGCTGGCCGTAGAGGAGAATGCAAGCCACCGAGACCGGGTAGAGGCGCGCATATTCGAAAATGCGATCCGGGTCTTCCAGCAGATTGTTCATGAAAATGACCGATCTGAAGTAAGTTAAATAAGTCAACTATTCTGTCAGGGTGGAAAGCTGCTTGCAAAAAGTTACTCCGCCTCTTGAATCCGGAAATGATGCGAGTCCAATTTCTGCGGACTGAAGTGTCTCACGGCAATGGCCCGCTTAAGCTTCCACGACGGGCCTTGCTGTTCAAAGGAGAAATGATGGCCGTCAGTGATATGCATGGCCACTGCATTTTCCGGTCGGTCGGAGTAGATGACGCCTTTTTTGTCGAGGAGATTGCCCACGATCTGTGGGTCGGAAATCACAATGATATTCGAGTTGAGCACTTTGAGAGAGTAGATGGGTCCGTATTTCTCCGCCCATTCTTTGAACCTGTTGTCCGACATTTGGTTAGAAAAGATGAGATGGCCAATATTCAGGGTAGATAATCTACTAACTTGACTCCGATTCCTGTTGTGGGAATTAGATGAGCATTTCCTAGCACGGGGACGGTGGGAGGGCCCGGTGGGAGGCGAGCATCACGTTTCCCGATTGAGAGCAGTCTGTAAGCCACATACGACCAAAGAATGGCCAGGGCGGCGAAGACATAGGAGGACATGGTGAAGTTTGACTTTCTAGTGGGCACCTTTGTCTTGTTCGTCTTGTCGTTGACGACCAGAGGCTCCCTAAATAAGCATTGAACCTGCGGGGAATAGTGCGGGGAAAATGGAAGGTACCTGATATTGGCTACTACGAGCTAGTATATTCAATAATAATAACTCTGTTACGCATAGCAATCGTGTCTAAGGGCTGGCCAAAAAAAAAACAGTATTAGCGAAGATCTTCCGAAGGGGCACGGGTGATGGGGTATTCCCCCGAGCCGACGTTGCTCCGAAGGAGAAGAAGTTCGGACATGAAGTCATGGAGTCGTGGAGTTGTGGAGCAGCTTGACTAGTCTCGTTTTCCTTTTCTCCCCAGATTGTATGTGTTCCGTATGTACGGTACATAGCTCAAACTCTGCCTGTCCCCTATCTATGTGACCTAGGTGGTGGGGACTATGGGTTAGGGTTAGATCTACTCACTGGTGATCGACTTACGTTGGCCAGCATTATATAAAATATGGACCAGTAGTTACCGGCATTCTACGTATGCGCATGTCATAGGGGAAAAGAAAACGTTCATCAATAATCCATTCTCAGCTTGTAACGAAGCATGACTCTAGGCCGCTGGAAGGAAGCGAATTTCTTCTGAAGCTCGCTCGACCATGTTCCATCATCAGAGGAAATCAGTTGGCAGGGACCCCTAACGTCATACCGCCGTCCACAGCGAGCACTTGGCCCGTGATCCATTGTGAGGGAGGTAGACAGAAGAAGAGCACCGCGCCAGCAATATCGTCGGCATTGCCCAGTCGTGGCCACGGAGTCGCTGCCTTCATTACCTGGGAAATGCCCTTGTCTTCCAGGTTGCCTCGTGCCATCCCGGTCGCAACAACCCCAGGAGCAATACAATTGATGTTGATGGAGTCCTTGGCATGGTCAATGGCCGCCGCTCGTGTCATATGGTTGATCGAGGCCTTCGTAGCGGAGTAGGCAACCTCGCCGGCATAGGCGATCTGCGCCGCGCAAGACGAAATATTCACAATCCGGCCGCGACTGCCCCAAGTCGGGTCCACTTCTTGTTTCAGAAATTGTCGAATGGCGAGCCTCGACATCTTGGACGTCCCCGCGGAGTTGACGGCCAGCATCTTCGACCACAGCTCGTCATCCTCGTCCACGAAGTGCCGGAAAGGCGCCCAGAACCCCGCACAATTGACGAGGATATCGAGACGCCCAAAATGCTGAAAACGAGAGCAGAAGCCCTTCGAGTCAGCCAAGAATTGTAGATAATAAATTCGGGGGCGTATGCCCCTTTTTTTTCTTTTTCTCTTTTGGTATTATCTTACTGTGATGGTCTTTTCAAAGGCCTCCTCAACTTGAGAGAAGTTGGAGATGTCGACCTGCTGGAAAATCGCTTCTCCTCCATTTCGCGTAATCAGCTCCACGGTGGTCTTGTCGATGTCCGCTTCGTATCCCTTGGGATTAGCCGTCGGCTTCAAGTCGCAGCAGACTACTTTCGAGCCTTCTTTCGCTAGAGCCAATGCGGTCGCTCTGCCCATCCCGGAGGAGGCCCCGGTTACGAGGGACACTTTGCCTTCTAATGGCCGGCCGGACATGATTAAATCTTGACCGGTGGGTGCTTTCTGAGTTTCGAAGGAATGATAGGAAAAACGAGAGTGAGAAGAAGGGGACAAAAATAACAGAAACGTGATATATATCACAGAGATGCGGATATTCCGGAAGTTTTCATATCATGAGTTCAAGTTCACGCATATATTTTCTCCAGCGGATTAATAATTGCAAGAATTAATTTCCCAGGATCAGTTGCGTAGGAAATTGCTTCAAGTTCTGCT